GCTGGGCTGGCCTGGGCTGGGCTGGGCTGGGCTGGACTGGACTGGGCTGGACTGGACTGGGCTGGACTGGGCCCGTTCTCCGTGTTCTTTCTTCTAAAAGCCAGTGTTGTGTTTCTGAGTGGTCCGGTTTGTGGACCGGACTCACTGTTTACAGACGTCTCCGACACTTGACTGAAAAACGCCAACAATGTGAAGCATTAATAAAGCAGTGTTACTCTGACGGACGAGCTGCCGGAAGTGTTGTTTGACTGATTAGCGTGTTAGCCGCACGCTACGCTATTTATTTTTTATTTTAAGAAATACGCTTTATAAATCTCAGCTGTTATTATTATGTTATTATTGTTAATACATGTTGAATAGGTGAATCGGACAAATTCATGTGATCGTAGTTTGTACCGCAGCCTCGTCAACCGACAGTGGCTCCAGCGCCCCCTGCTGAGGAATAAGCGGTAGGTCGTGTGGATACGACCACGTTGTGTGTTCTGGCCATGTTAGCGGTGTGTGTGTTAGCAGAAGCCGCGGTGTTTCAGCAGCATTAACGTCTTTGTCCTGCAGGTCTTCAGTCCAGTCGAGTTGATGCCAAACTTTAAAAAAAGAAGAAGCGAAATCAGAGGTAATGTTTGACATTTTAATGATTATTTTATAATCTACAAACAATGTTCATGAAAACAAAAGCACTTTTTTTTTCCAGAGGCATGCGTGAAAGGGTGAGCAGTGATTAGCCCAGAGCTAACGGTGTTCGTCGCTACGTCACGGGTAAAAAGCTGATTTTCTTCATTAGGTTCCGTCACTTCTGATTTTGTGTTGTTTCGAACTTGACGTCAGGATCCAGCGTGAGCAAGGTTAGCGTTGTGGTGATGCCGAGCTTTGATTGGAGGGGTTTGGGTTCAGTGATTGCTGTTCACCTGGTGGGGGCAGTGTGGTTGTATGAAGCGCTGACATGAACAGTCGTGTTAATGTTTGACCACGGACTCTCCCACACCAAAGTCTGTTCAAAACATGAAGAATTATTCAACAACGCGACACTGAAGCATGCATTTAACTTACTGCAGGGGGCAGCAAAACCACTGATTATTTCAATGGACTTTGGTGTGGGCCAGTCTTCGGTGTGTAGATCAGTCTGTCAGACACTGAGGTGAAGGGATTTGACACTTTGATTTGATCTGCCCTCTGCTGGCCAAATAGACACACTGTAAGTACAGAGTGAGCCGCTGTATACCTTGTTCTAACAGCAGAGGGCGCCCAGAGCAGCGAGTCAGCGCTGGCTTTGTGTTAGTTACGTCATTCAACCACACTAAAAATAGCTAAACTGTCCTTTAGCCAGAGTCAGACAACACGGTCGGGTTTATTTATTTTTGCGAAGCTCGAAGAACAGAATCATCCTTTAGGTCAGCTGCTGTAGTTTGTTTTCCCGTTTTGGTTCCTGAGTAAGAAAAGAAAATATTGAGGTAGGATTAAGGTGGAGAGTTAGGGATTTGTATTAGCGGTTAGCATGAGGTTAGCATATGAAATGATGCTCACCTGTCAGGTGATCTGCTGGATCAGCACTTTCTCTGGATCCTGTTTATCGTCCAGCTCCTCGTCTGAGTCTGAAACAAACAAACGTTCCTTCACCTGAGGGAGCAGCAGGTCTGAGATGAAACTGTGTTAAATAGATTGAGCTGAAACCATAGCTTCTGTCGGAGCTAATCCAAAAAAAAAAAATCCTTGTTCTGAACTGAGCACATGTCGACAGACCGGCCTTTGAGTTTTTACTGACCTGCCACAGACTCTGGTGGAGAGTAGAACTGTCCGTCTGATAGTGGACCAGGACCCATCAGAGGAGCCCGCTCTGCAGCGTCCATCAACGACTGCAGTCCTGAAACACGTTTTAGACCAGTGTCAAACAGGTAAGCCCAGAATGGCCCTCCATGGACTTTGGTCTGAACTAAAATCTCTGATTTTCTCCATGGACTTTGGTCTGAACTAAAATCTCTGATTTTCTCCATGGACTTTGGTCTGAACTAAAATCTCTGATTTTCTCCATGGACTTTGGTCTGAACTAAAATCTCTGATTTTCTCCATGGACTTTGGTCTGAACTAAAATCTCTGATTTTCTCCATGGACTTTGGTCTGAACTAAAATCTCTGATTTTCTCCATGGACTTTGGTCTGAACTAAAATCTCTGATTTTCTCCATGGACTTTGGTCTGAACTAAAATCTCTGATTTTCTCCATGGACTTTGGTCTGAACTAAAATCTCTGATTTTCTCCATGGACTTTGGTCTGAACTAAAATCTCTGATTTTCTCCATGGACTTTGGTCTGAACTAAAATCTCTGATTTTCTCCATGGACTTTGGTCTGAGCTAACGTTCACAGTCAGGTGACCTGGTCCAGCCACTGAGGCGTCTCATTGGTGAATATCTGTTGAAGGTTTGTGACTCACTGTTCTCGTCCTCAGCCTCCTGAGGTAGAACCTTGAAGTCCAGCAGCCACGTCTCTATCCAGGCCAAGATGAAGGAGATGATGAGCAGCAGGTAACCAAACGCCCCCTTAGACAACAGCTGTGAACACACACACACACACACACACACGCACACAGGCAAATTTAAAAAGATGTTTGTTTATATGGTGATTTAGCAGCTCTGAGCAATGTTAGTTACTGTAGCTAACGTTACTGTGGCTAACGTTACTGTGGCTAACGTTACTGTAGCTAACGTTGCTGTAGCTAACGTTGCTGTAGCTAACGTTGCTGTAGCTAACGTTGCTGTAGCTAACGTTGCTGTAGCTAACGTTGCTGTAGCTAATGTTGCTGTAGCTAACGTTACTGTAGCTAACGTTGCTGTAGCTAATGTTGCTGTAGCTAACGTTACTGTAGCTCACTATATTTGGGACATTGATTTCTTTTTTTGCTGACATTGCTGTTTTTATTATAATAATAATTTTTACATGAGAAGTTTGATTTTCTGCCAGTCTTAGCCTTTTTTAGTGGTTCGTCTATATATCTTTATTTAATCGATCTTATAGCAACCTTTTAGATAACTTTTAGAAATTATAATTCTTACTCTCTAAGGTGAGAACGACAAAAAAGTAAATAAAAAGTAGATGTTGATTCAGAACCGACAAGTCCAACTACAACTGCTGGAAGCTGGTTCTATGGATGGCCAGCAGGGGGAGCAGTGACTTAGACTTCCCTCTTACCTTTGATAAAATGACTTTGACAATGAGGAAGGCACAGCTGACTGTGGTTGTGATCTGAGGAGACAGACAGCGTGATCAGCCACGGTGATGATGTCATCGTTTTTTTAAATTTGAACATCTGTATCTGTCAGGACGACACGCGTCAACTCACAGCGACGGCCCACCAGTGACGCAGTTTACAAACAGCGTAGGCCAAAATGAGGAGAGCAAACCGGGGGGGGGGGGGCGGCGGGGGGGGGGACAAGGATTAACAGGATGATAATAATAATACGTTAATGAGAAAAGTTGTTTTTCTGAAGAAAAATAAAAATGTTTAAAGGTCTCACAAAGATGTCGAAGAAGGAGGTGCTGTAGTCGTAGTGAAGAACTTCTTCATCCAGTTTCTGCTGAATCCCTCTATTCATCTGAAACGACACAGGCACACGGTCACTGACTCAACTGAGAGCGCCCCCTAGGACACAGACTGGCTCTCAGTGAAATAATCCCCTGCACCTGTTCTCAAGGACTTAAACTGACCACACGAGGCAGCAGTGGACTAGCATTCCTACGCCTCTGTGCGATAAAGCCATACATATGGCCAGTAGATGGCAGTAATGACACTGACAGGATTCAGAGAGAAGAAGAAGCTGATGGCGTTAGCATTGGTTAGCTTAGCCAAGCCTTGGTGTAGAAAATAAAATGCTACGTTTGACTGCTCGTACGATAAATGCTAGCACACAACGACAACGACAACAACAACGACAACAACAACAACAACAACACCACTCTTTCACAGCGACCGTGTGAAGATTCAGGTCATTCAGTTCTTTGTCAGTAAAATGAAAACAAATGAGGACAAATGTGAGAATCTGGTCCTGTGAACGGACACTTCCTCATCTCAGACAGGAAGTGCTGGATCTGTGTCTCTGGTTCACATCCTCATCACAGCCGCTGTTGGCGTCACATGGTACTGATGAGTTCAGTGACAGTGACCAGGAGGCGGCGCCGCCACCACCACCACCACCACCACCACCACCACCGTGACTGTTGACAGTTTCAACACGACTCTTACGTTGAGCTCTAAGATCCAGAGCAGGGTGATAAACAGGAGGTCAAAGGTGACGAAGAGGCAGAAGGTCCTCCTCACGTCTGAGATGCATTTCTTCTCCACGACTTCGTACGAGTCCACCCTGGTGTAGAGGCCCCCCCTGGTGGCCGTCAGCCGGGAATCGGCGCTGCTGCTACAACGACTCTCCATGGCCGGACTCACCGCTGCCCCTCCTGTTTAAAGCGAAGAAGTGAAGGTGTGGACTCCAGACTCAGGTCAGGAAGGTCAGAGGGTAGTGTCGAGTGGACGTCAGCCTCATCAGTGCGTCTGGACAGACACAGACACAGACACAGACACGTCATTGTTGTTGTTATAATCCAGCGTTGATTAATGTCACTGTGAAACTTGATCTCAAAGGGAAAAAGAAAATCTGAAGACATTTGGTGTCAGTGAGGGTTTGGTCCTGGCTGTGAACACCACGTCCATGTGATGGACTCAGAGACGTGGAGTCAGAACTCCGTCCTCCGTCCTCCGTGGTGGTCTGTAGACCTGACCAGGAGAACCTGCAGGTGTGTGAAGGCTCCACTGATGCACGTCTATGTGTGTGTGTGTTTGACTGTCCAGTCACATCTGTCCCATCGTGAGGAAGAGACTCGGACAGTGACGTCATTGACTGAGTCTCGGCACATCGTTCACTCAGGTCATGGTTTATGTTTAACAAAGACATTGAAGTGTAAACATCCAACACATCCTCGACTGTTGTCAGGTTTCGAGTTTCGTTTTAAAATGGACTTAGTTATCAGTTAAGTTAACCAGTAACCAGTAGTTGGTCGACAGTGTCGGTCTTCAGCTCAGGACCGTACGGAGATGTCAGTGATACTGACCTGATGTTTCCTGGTCTCGCTCTGATTCCAGCTCACCGACAGCGGCAGTTGTTTGTTTGTTCTTTTCTAACGCAGCGGTGGAGAATCTACAACATCGTCCTTTAATAAAATCCTCAAACGAATCAGACAAATGTCCAACGGGGTCTCGGTAAATCTGCGGAGCTGTCAGAGTCACTGCGGCTTCTCAAAAACATCACCTCTTCCGCTTCCGGTTTGCTGCTGCTTCTAAATTCTCCGCACGTCAGTGAAACCTGAAAGGGAGGACAGGCGCCACCTGGTGGCGGTGACGGTGCGGTAAACGCAACCTTCAAAACGAACTGAAAATATACAAAAAACAGTCGAACGTTGGTGTTCATTAGTTTATCCCGTATTTATTCATGGAATCCTTGGAGGTTTAACCCAAATAAACCACTGAAATAAACAAAAATATAATAAAAACGGCAAATCACGTTTAACCCCAAAATAAGATGAATAAGTAACGTAAGCTAAAAAAAATGAATTAGATTCTGAACTCCAGAATACATTTTTAAAAGATGTGTCAGAAACAGAAACTCTTCTGTCAAACCAGAACAACAGTGACCACAGTGGACGTCGTTAAAAAAGGAAAGGAAAACTGTTGAACGTTTTATTAGAGTTTTATTTGCAGGAAGTAAAAAGCTGGTAGAAAAGGATTCTTCACAGACGGTGACCGTAGTCTCTGAGTTCACAGGGAGGTTTTAGGCTCAAAATAATGCTGTCATACATGTACATGCAAATGTGTAAATACATATGAATTATACTGCAGCAAATCCTTTAGCATCACACTGACCTGGTTAGCTGTTAGCTTGTTTGTGTATCTGACGACACTTTTGTTTTCGTGACCTTATTATTTGTTTACACTTGTTTGTTCGCACAAACGGTGAGGAGGTTTTTCGTGACTCTGCGGCGTCTAAATACCTTTACTTCCTCGGCAGCAGCTAAAGCTACGGTAGCAGAGAATCACTAGCACGCCACTGTCACAATACGCAGCAAAGTTTCACGCTACAGAACCAAATGGTGGCAAAAACGCCTACTAACCCTCAACTGACGCTAGCCAGCTAGCCGGTGGCATGAGGTTAGCGGCTGCTGCAGCAAAAGCTAGCATCTTCTTAAAACAATTCACATTTAAAGATTATAGAGATGGTAATTAACAAATTAGCAGCTAAAGCTAAACATAAATGCCTTGGCCACCGCAGGTTGGTGTTAAAAATGTGGGAGGAGTTTCAGGATCAGCGCCAGAATTCACAAAGTCCTGAAAGTACAACGAGACAGGAGCTAACACTCGTGCTGGGCCATCCTCTCAGGCCGGGCCGACTGACAGGTGCTCGGTGGAGTGAAGACGTCTGGGTCACTGATACCCAGCTGCAGGTCGAAGAAGCGGGTGGAGGTGGTGACGCTGCTGTTCTTGGTGTAGGTCTCCTGCACTGGATAACAGTCCTTCAGAGTGTAGACACCCACCCAGGTCTCATCTGGAGGAGGAGAAGAGGAGAGGAGGTGAGGAGAGACAACAACCAGTCCTGGCCAAAGTAAATCTGGACTCCTGGACCGTGATCGAACCCTCACCCCTCACCGTCCGGTCGATGTCACTCAGTCATGAAGGTTCTACTCTGGTCTTTGTTCACATTTTAAAATCCTGACATTTCTCTGTCCACAGACCGCGGCGTCCATCACTGCACTGAGTTGAAACTTTAAAACAGGCAGAGGACGACTTACGTTTGCGAGCGGGCTTCCTGTCCGACCACTCCTGAACTTCCACGTTGTCACCAGGTCCGCCGACGATGTACTGGTCCTCGAAGGTGGAGTTCTGAGGGATGTCAAAAGGATCCCAGGCTTCTGTCAGGGCGATCTTAGAGCAGACCTTGGTCTTCTGCTCGATCTGGAACATCACCGAGTTCTGGTACAGATAGATGTACTCGTAAAACCTGGTGAGAACAAAAGGGAGGAAGAATTTAAATGTAGCGCTGCAGCTGGAGAAGGTGCTGGGTCTGCAGCCCAGAGAGTGGGCTGAAGGTGACACGGTTGGCCCAAGAAGGTCGGACAACTGGGCTGCATCCATCTGACGAATTGGAACGGACCGGTCTCTGTGCTGGGACCGTATGTGGTAGACAACTGCAGCCCACGTGGACTGCAGACTATACATTCGGCCAGTATAAACCATGTGGATGTAATTACAGCCATGACATGTAGGGTGCGCTCTGCTCTCTTACTTCTGACACGGGGTGTGTTTCTTGTGCTGCTGCAGGACACGGAGCCTCTGGTTCAGGCCGTCGTAGGACACGGCGGCTCGGTGGTTCCGGCCGCTGTTGTGCTCGTACACCACCCACCTTCCCTCCCACTGCAGCGGGGACACGCAGGGTCCGGAGGCGGGAAGGCCGAGCACCGACGCCCCAAAAGTGGCCACGAAAACCAACCACAGTCCGAACATGACGACCGGCTCAGAATAACAAGAAGGTCCCGTTAACTGTTCTGTGACGTGTGCACCAGCCGTCAACGGACGAGGGTGAGGAAGATGATTTCCGGAGAAGACCTTCAAAGTAAAGCTTATTATGGATGACAAACTATAAAAAATATATAATATAATACAATATTATGACTTTAAGTTTCAGTTATGAAAATAATTATAATATAATGACATAATTATCCATAAAGTAAAAATAGATGTGATATTTTGACAATTAACCAAATGTGTCTCAGGTTATGAATGATTGAAAATGATGAATGAAAGTTTTTTATAAATTAAAATTTTATTTATTTTATTTTCAGAGTCAGAATTATGAGATAACTGTAAACATATCTGTCATTATCGGACTGAGTCTTTATGAGTTTTTTAAACATGTGATATTCCGGTCAGATTTATGTCACAATTGTGATTTTCTCAACTGGACCATGCATGAAAACGTTAACACTCCAACCGGTAGGCGGCGATACTACAGGTCTACAGAGCGTCATTCGCTAACACGAAGAAGAAGCTGTAGACAACATGGCGAAGAACCAACGTGGGAGACAAACAGAGTCCGACTCAAAGACGAGGGGCAACAGCAAAAAAGAAGCAGAAATGTCAAGTTTCTCACTAAATTCAAGTGACGACGAGGCTCCGGAGGAAGTGACGTTTGAAGAGTCGAAGAGTGATGCTCTGCGCTGCCTGAAGGAGACGTTAAACACCGTCAGACGGTAGGCTGCAGCTGAACTACACCCGTTTGTTTTTATCTTTTTATCTTCTCATGATCACCACCTGTGAACCGTAGTCAACAAGTCACGACACGTTACCGTTAATCCGGGAGTCGATTTAACATCGGCTGAGTTGAAAACAACAATTACGTCATAATACGTGTAGTGTTCCTGTTGTAAACAGGAGCTAGCTTAGCTAGCATAGGTAAACTGTAACTTACAGCGGACTATCACCGCGACAATCCACCGGAAACACGCGTTGTTTACTAGAATAAAGTTGTTCTTTGGTTTTGATAGAGATTTCCTCCGAAAAGTCAAACAAAATTTTACGTCGACTATGAAATGTTACCCGAAGAAATCCTCGGTCAGTGCCGCTAACCGCAGCCTGGTAAGAGTATATACAGTACGTATATTCGGTTGATTTTAGGACTTTAATGACGTCGGCAGGGTCACGTGACATCGTGTGTTGTCTGTCACTGAGGCTTGTTCTTGTTCATAGGGAAAAGGAGCAGCTGAAGGAGAAGAGGAGGAGGAGACAGGAGCTCTTCCAGGAGCAGAAGGTTGTTTTTTTGTTTTGTCGGTGATAATCCAAATGAAGTGACCTTCTGGTTATCTTCAGCTGGTTGTTGACACCTCAGCTCTTTTCTACTTCATGTGAACAGGTCGCTGAAACGTCATGATTTGTTTTAATATATTTGTTTCCCCCCTTTAGAAGCGCCGCCTCCTCCCGGCTGACGTGCTGGAGGAAATGGACTCCCCGTGGTCAGGGTGCGTTCATCTCTCTGCACCTTCCACTGTGAGACTCTTCAGGTTTGTGGTGTCTGATGTTCACCTCTCTGTGTTTCAGGAAGCAGACGCAGCCTGAGGACCAAGGTGACACTCTTCTCTTTGTCATGTTTCTTTTCCACCTGTGTGATCAGTGGGTCCTGGAGCCTCATGTTTGAACTCACTTTGAGCAGATGAAAAGAAAGAAGAAGAGGAGGAGGAGGAGGGGCAGGAGGGCCGAAGAAGAAAGACAAAAAGGGGGAAAATGTCACATTCCCGGAGGTAAGTTGACCGTTCCTCCCAGTTCATCCCAGTTCATCCCAGTTCATCCCAGTTCTGTTGTCAGTGAACCATTGACCACGACCCTGAGTGATGACACAGAACACCATACCATTATTTAAGAGACGTTCGTCAGTCTGTAGATAATCATTTTATTTTACCATTCAACACCTGAAGGTTATTTCAGAAAAGTCTCACAGCTGTAGTGCCAACTACTGGACATTTTGGAGAACTGCTCTTGAAAAGTGTCTGGATTCATCCTGGAGGAGGATGATTGGTTTTACTTGACTACTTCCTGTTTTGTCAGTCTAAAGGGAAACTACAAAGTGGCGACGTTGAAGGAGGACACCGCAGCTTCCTACCAGCAGAGGGCAGCACAGGACTTCATCCAGTCCAGACTTTACGGACCTGGAAGCTGCAGGACAACAAGTGAGTTTTTAATCGGAGCTTCGTGTCACCGACGTGTTTGATTGGCTGTAGTCAGAACAACGTCATCTGGGCTAATGTTAGCCGCTTCACTTTTTATAAAAAATATAGTTTATTTCATGTGTGTGTGTGTGTGTGTGTGTGTGTGTGTGTGTCCTCTGTTTCCAGACAGTGAGCTGCTCTCCCTCCAGAATAAAAGTGGCAGGAATAAAGCAGCAGCTGTTCAGTTTTTGAAGAAAGACT